TCTGCTGCCTCTCTCTGCCTTTCCAGTTGCGAGATATACTTACAGTTCACGGGACAGTGTATTTGGCTTTTTAAAGATTCATCTCGGTAGATAGGACGGGATTTTCCTCCTCCTCCTCCTCCCCCTTCTCCTCCTCCTCCTCCTCTCTTGATTTTACTGTAATCACTTTGCCAGGTTTGCAATAAAAGCCGGAGAAGCGCTGAGCGATTCGGAGCCCCCCAGGTCGTCTTCTTCGACACTAGAGTTAACTACAATTCACACACTCTCCCTCTCTCTTTTCTCTCTCTCTCTCTCTCTCTCTCAGCCGTTTACGACCAAGGCATTAGCTTTATTCTCCCCCCCTCTCTGCACACACAGGGGGGAAGAAAAAAATAACGTGATTCGCTTTATTCAAAGGGCTTGTGTCCGGCAAAACTCCCAAATCCTCTTAGCAATGGGCAGTTCTTTAAAAAAAATAATAATAAAATTCAAAAGGTAAAGAAAAACATAAAAATCCCAGTAATGTCGGTAGCCGCACAGCTGACAGGAGAAGAACCCCGTGTATTACAGAGCAGTCCACAGAATATCCCCTCTGATTGGCAGAAAAGCACCCAAATCCATCTTCAGAGCTCGCCTAAAATGTTCAGCTCTTTCTCCGGAGAGGATTTTTTTTTTTTTTTTTAACAACTCTGCGCAAGGTCATTAGTCACAAAGCGACGGCAGAGAAAACTGCAGAAGCCCTTTTTTTTGCCCACAATTTGCCAGGCTGGAGAGACGAGCGTGCACACACACACACACACACAGAGACACACACGACGGTCCCAAGTTTGGGGTTTTGCAGCCGCAGTTGGGGTGTGTGTGTGTGTGTGTGTGTGTGCCTTACCTGCATTTGCACTGCATGTGTGAGAGCAATCTGGATCTGCAGCACTGAGAGCGATTCACAAATGAGATTGCAGTCTCTCTCTCTCTCTCTCTCCTCTCTCTCTCCCTCTCCCTCAATCTCTGTCTCTCTCTCTCTCCTCTTCCTTCCCGTCCCAATGCAGGTAACCAGATCTGAACTTGATCCTTTCTTTCAGTTCAAAGGTGAGCCACAAAAACTATGTGTCCACAGGCGATTACTCGGTCTCTCGTAAATAAACCCGGAGATGGAAACTGGATCCCCCACGTGAATTAACACAGATTCGGAATTACATCCATATAGGAGCGGAATGGCCAAAGGGGAGGGGGGAAAAAGATCCGCCAGGCGGTTGCACAAAAAAAAAGAAAAAAAAAAAGAAAAAAAAAAAAAAAAGAGAAAGCTCTATTTGCAAAAAA